AACATACAGGTACTGTATTCCTGGATTTTTTATACAGTAGGCTACTTAATAATGCGTTTAAGAATAATTCAAATGAGTAGGAGGTGGCAAAACTAATGGGAATAGCTGAATTAAGAGTACCTCATACACAGTTGATTCCATGTTCAAGCCAGATCTTGAAGAAGTTATGTCATGTGTGACCAGCTGGCTCCTCATGACTCTTGATCTGGGACGATGGGGTATTTTGGGGCGTTTGGATAGGATTGTAAAGTAAATTTGTTAAAGGTGTTGCGGGGATGAATAAATAGCTTATTCCCTTTATGGGAAATTCGCTAAAAGGATTCTAGTCAAAGTCAGGCAAGAGGGGATTAAAAGTAATAGGTTTTTAGGTCTAAAACAAATCTGGCCTTAACTTATGAGACACCCTGTATATTTAGGACCGAGTAATAATATTACGTCATCATATGGGTTGTACACTTGTAATATGAGGGGTGCTCACTTACTCATACAGTGTGGTTTATGGTAGTATATTACTCATAGCCGGTCACCTACACCTACACCAGTACTACAGTGATGGTAAGGTAATGCAGAGGTGTGCTGTGGCCTTTGTATAGATGACACTGACACGTGCTGTAGCTGGCCTCTTGTGTTGCGACACCCGTGTAAATATGTCCACTGGTTTCTTCCTCCTGTTTGCATTAATTACAATAGCTTAAAAGAACAACCAGCTCGCCCCCCGAACATTGACGATAGTTTTTCAAAATACACATCAAGTAGACGATCCATTCCTAAAAATCAAATAGGTACTGTAAATGAAAAGCTCCAATGATCAGCGATAAAGAGCGAAACAGCGTTATTAGGTAGCGTTACAGTACTACGAAATACCGTTTTATTTATAATCCGCTCTTTTTTCATGACAAACTGCAACTTGATGTTAACTGTAGTATCTTTTATGTCATCCATCAAATCAAAAAAGAGAAAAAATAACACATCAGCTTAACATCAGATTAGGATAAACTTTCCACCTTAAATGTCCTCATTAACTCGTATATACCGGTAATTAAGTACATAGAAGACAAAATATAAAACTTCATTGAGAAACAATCTATTTTCTAGCTGTAATACACTTTGTATCCAAACAAAGCAGCTACGTAGCTAACCGTTTTCTCAAGAGAACCTGTTGATCGATCATCCGAGCCTATTGGAGAAAGCGCTACAAAAACCATAACCCTTAAATATTCTCTGATGATATTACACGTTTCATGTTCAATTGATTTACTGTATTGAAAATCAATAGTAAATTAGGCTAATTTATTTTTGATCAAACTAAATCAAGTTTACATAAATAAAAATCGAGCTCGTTACAAGACATGCTCACTCTGAATAACAATTACAGTAGTTATGGCTGGACCATACATGTGTACCTCGCGTCTGCTCTGTTCATCACGACGGCTGACGAAGCCCTTCAAATCTGTCATTGACACAATCGTACAAGTGCAACAGCATCATCGGCTGTAATGTCAGCTGTGTACGAGGTCGACAATGTGCCAGAGAATCCTGTAGTCGCCGATATAATATATAATACTGTATGTACGTACATCACTTAATGTTTTCAAGTAGCCGAATGTTTTTGACGTAGCTAATGCATTTGTTGTTAATTTTGCTGAATAAACTACTTATGACTTATTACCTATGAAGCAAAACAGTACGATTATTATTAAAGTAATAACACAGTTTTTTAAAGACCAAGCACAATTTTAAAATAAAGTAACCTTGTAGTCGACTTTGATTTTGCCGTTCTAATCAAAATTGAAAACGTGTCCTAAGGAAATAGTTGAATTGATTTGGCACATTTTCAGTATTTAAGTTTTGTTTCCGAGAGATCTCAAACTCATTTTCTCTCCAGCTAGTCGCGTTTGTTGCTTTTGTCAACTCAGAGAATTGTTTTTCTTTGCGCGCCGAGGGTTGATTTCCGTCTCTGCAGTAGTCGTTCAGAATATAAACTTTTCCGTCGCCTACTGATATTTTACTTCAACAGTTTAAATATATATTTGGAAAGTTAACTTGTTTACCTACAATTGTTTAAACCCCACCAATGTTAAACTAATAGTTGTATGAATAATATGTTAATAAATGAGTGCATGATTGTATAATCATTTTAGACTATGAGTAAATGAAATTATTAAGTTGTAGTAAACATCTTGAGGAAATAATAACACTTCCTTGAGAGGTAATTATGCATACAGTGTTGGTTCATTCATTTCTCATCTTTACCCTCTATTATATTGATTTTTAATACCCCCGTATCAGCAAACCTGCAGACTTAATGCATTTCTATTCACCTAGTTGGATTTTCAAAAAAATATTACTGTACATCAACACTGCCAGATTTATTTTCTAGTATCTTAAATAACATAATAATTATGAGTACGTGTTTTTTTTTCTTTTAAAAATGTTTTTAGCTTGGTTTGAAATAAACAAAATATGATCAAATATGATCAAAATATACAGCCCTAAATTTTGAAACTGACCTATTTTTTAATTTAACTGTTACGCATATAACAACGCTTTAATACTGTAAATTATTTGTTCTTTAGCTCTACAAAATGGTTTTGAAATAATTAGCCCTACTTATTTTATGTTTTAGACTGTCAAAAATAAGAAAACCCTGTTTTCACTCTGTATTCCTTATACGGAAAATTCGCTAAACATGGGCTAAAAGTACGTTACTGCGTTATTTTGATTTCTCTTTTTTTCTATTCGTATAAAGTAGTTATATTTTTCCTTTCATGTTGCTCTTCTAACGATCTTGGTCCGTCTGAAATGGTAATTTACAATACTATATTTGATCTCAACTTTCCAGACGTTAAGCTGTCAAAGATACACAAGTTTTTTTCCTTGTTGGTTTAGCAGCGTAACCTCAAATATTATTCGAATGCGGCCAAAGTTCATACGATAACGTCGTGGCAGGGGCTACTGATAAGTCAGTCCTAGTCCTAGTCTTCATGCACTACATGGGATATGTCGTCGGCGTCAACCGGAGTGTTCTTCAAGTGAGTCTTGGCAGGGAATAGGTGTCTTATCACTGATCAGTGTGAAGCTTGCATGTTGATGGCGGGAAGCCCCTTCGTCGTTGCAGTCAAATATCTAGTGCAGTGTTCCCTGGTTTCGGCCCTGTTCTACATATATCGCGCTTGCCGCCAGGAAATAACCGACTTTTGCGAGGAAGAGGTGATTCTTCAATTTTATTGTGGTTAAATAAATACTCCACCATTTTTAACGAGTTTATAGTATAGCGACAACCTTTTGACAGGTTTATGATGTGATTGTTATAGGAAATACGCTACCTTATTGAATTGACTTAAAATTTATTCCCACATTAATGTTTTACCTTAGATAAGTTTGAAAACAACTTTAAAGTAGTTTTCTGACTGATATTTTTATAGTCTCGGCGTTGATGTTTACTGCTTATTTATTACTCAGTTATTTTAGTTACCACAGTGTTTGTATTAAATACAACTGTTCGCATAACAATGTGTTGAGCTGACGTTATTTACACAGTATTTTACACGAAAAGTGCAGCGCACGTTGAAAAACTACCAATTAAGAAAAGTCAATGAGTTATTTCTTTGACCAGATTGAACCATCATGTATTCGACATGAACGCGAACCAAACTTATCAAAACTTGTTTGGACTTTGAAGGCGGATATTCATTTTAGCAGTATTAATGTTAACGCTAGAGTTTTAACATGAAGTTATGTTCAATTTGTGAACATTAAATTTACGAATTTAATCAATGGGAGATAAAAATAACGTTTCAACGTTTAACGTCATTGACATCACTGCACAGGTTCGGGTAGTTCCGTACCTGCTCGGATTTCTCCGGTTGTTCACGTGACCACTGACCTCCTCCCCCGCTCCCCGTTGTTTGTTTTTCTCGCATCTCCAATTTCAATTTTCAATATGTCGGCCGTCTGCCTGTCAACACTGTCAATGCAGTAAATTAAAATAATCAGTGTTCTTTGATAACCTGTGTTTATCTTTCAACTTGGTAATAAATTTTCGTGATGTGGCGTATGTAGGTTAGAAAGCTGTGATTGTTACTCTTTGTTGAAACTTAATGCCAAAAGTATTTGTGTAAATTATAGGCTAAACTTGGTGAAATAAAATTAGGTAGGCCTAGCCCAATCGGTATCAAAAATGCCGTCCGAAGTTACTGAGTGCGCTACACTTATAACCAAATATTTAGTACTCAAAGACGTAAGTTGGTAGATATAAAGTAACTAACTTAGACATACAGTACAGTAATTCATCCGCATAATTTTCTTTAGGGCCTAACTTAATAGACCTAAGGCCTTTACCCAGAAAGATTTTCTTAGGCTAAAATCTTAAAGTGGGCAAGACAATTGATTGTTAAGTTATCTAAGTACAATGGTGACTTGCTGTAGTTTGATATAAAGTTTCAGTTTATAAGTGACATTTAAAGCTCAGTTTACTTGTTAAGTACACTTCCATATCTGTTGGCACAAACAACGGAATGAATAATATTGATTATTCGGTTGTTTAATTCGATATATCGTTTGGTTAGTTAGGTTAGGTTAACCTTACCTAACTAACCAAACGATATATCGAATAATCTACTTTTGGGTAACTTACACTTCCAGATCTGTTGGCACAAACAACCGAATGAGTAATATTGATTATTCGGTTGTTTAATTCGATATACCATATATAGGTTAGGTTAACCTTACCTAACTAACCAAACGATATATCGATCGATATTTTCATTCGATTGTTTGTGCCAACAGATATGGAAGTGTACCCCTTTTTAATTCTTGTATTTTACTTGAGTAAAGTGTAAGTGACCTCCGCACGTAAGCTTAGGCCTAGTCGAACCCCCTAACTTACATTTATAAGTAATCCAACCATGTGATGTGTGCATAGTAGGTTATTGCTTTACACAAATGATGACCCATGTTAAACTTGTAACTTAATTAACATATTGTGTCTATTGTTGCAGGGCAGTGAAAATGCGACGGCCGGCCGGGTGTCCTCATCGAGGAGTCGCACCTCCGATGAACCTCACATCGGAAAATACAAACTCCTCAAGACCATTGGCAAAGGTAACTTTGCCAAGGTCAAACTGGCCAAACATGTTCCCACGGGTAAAGAGGTGAGTTGATATTTTGATTATTTATAAATTTTAGTTGTGCTTTCCTAGCTACCTGACATATTTGCAAGATTGTGAATAATGCTTTCAGTGTTGTCCAGGCTCTGGGTTTTCCTTGCCAAATTTGGCCGCTAGGAAAACTGCTGTACTTAGACCCACTTGTGGGTTCAGTTGATGGGAAAAATTGCATTTATGCAATCGTATTCAGTAGCCAAATTTTGGCAGCAATGAATTCCCACCTTTACACCCTTTGCCGAACGTATTTCCGCATTTAGAAGGCTACCAGTTGGCATTTAAGATTGCAATTTTGTAATCTAAGTTAGCCTATTTTATTTTTTCTCACACAAATTAAGGAACGGTCATTAATATTGTCTTAAAAGTGTGCCCCCGTATCAGGTCTAAGTGTTTTGTCATGTCCCAATAGGCTAAGCCTACTAATGATTTAAATGCAAACTGTTCAGCCAAGCTTTATAATCGAACTAGCTGTAACCCACGGGCTTCGCCCCCTTTGATTTCCTGCATAGCCTGTCTGCCACAATTTTCTTTTCTTCAATTGGCATTCTTTTGGTTAGTTGGCCTAATAACGTCAATTATATTTACATGAGAAAATGCAGAGTTTCTAATAACGTTCAAATAGTGGTGTTGTTCAGATGGTTTTTCGTTTAACTTAACTGTGAATAATAGCCTAATTTAATACTAAAAATTTTAGTAAAGGTTTCTTGGATGTAGTCATATTCTTTTTAGAGCTAACTATTTTTTAGAGCTAGGATACCGGTACTAATAAAAATAAAACAAATTATTAGTATCCGGAAGCTCTGTTGTACAAATAAATGGCAACAGAAAAAATGTTAAAAAAAATTTTGAATTAAAAATTGCCATGTTATTCTTACTAGAGAGAGGCCTACTATTAATATTTTACCAAAAACATCCCTTATATCCCCCTGTAGCTGCAAACCTAGGTACCTATTCATTAAATCTGATTCAGTGAATAAGGAATAAATCTGAAATTTTTTAGGAAATATTTTAGTGCAAATCCCATGAGGCTAATTGGAATTCATACTCTGCAGGTTTGCTGCATCGCAGGTATTTACATTGTGTTAAAAGTTTGTTAAAGATCTGGATCCGTTTGGTTAACTTGATTCTGAGCAAGTTAACTTTGTAGCGTTAGATGGAGTTGCTTTAACTTGAGTTATGAATGAGTGACCCGTCACAACTTGTCTTGTCCCATCAATAACTGATTCTACCTTGTTGAGTTTGTGGGAGAGATCATGCTTAACAATCAGACGACTGTCACAACGGGAGACAATGTATGTTCTGGATGTCGATGAAGCTGAGATCTGGGTAGTTTGTCTGAGCAATCAAGTATCAAATATCATCCATCTTGCGTAACCTCCCAACCGACTGCTTGTTCCAATAAAACACTCCAGAACAAGATTAATCTACTTGTTGACAACCTCTCCAATTCTCGTCGTCAATCCGCATTGACCTGGATTATTTTGCAAACAGCTGGTCATTTAATATAAAAGAACATTTTTTCCTTGTAGCCTATATGTAGTAATTTTCTGAAGGTAGTTGTAAAATTGTGTAAATTTGCCCACAATCGGAAACCAATGACTTGTGTTAATTTAGTGAACTTGGTATTGGGTTAAGCTTAGTCAAGGTTTGTATGTATCAGCGAAACGTCAATAATCCTGATTAATTGGGACCGGACCCTATCCGGATTATCAAATTATCAAATTACCGTGAAAAAGTGCTATCACACACGATTTGAGCAACACTCGTCAGTCTTTAAAAATGTATATTTTCTATTATAGGTACAGTAAAGGTTCTAAAATAGAGATGAATTCAAAACATTTTCTATGTTCAATGACTGATAGTATTTAATTTATAGCAAAGTGTGTTCAGTGCCCAATAAAAAATCAGACACTACATATTTAAGCTTTAAAAAAATTTTGATTGGCTTTTTAACAGTGGTAGTGGTTACTTTTGCAGCTGACTGTACAAAACTCTTGCTATGCTAAACAATTTGAATTTAGGCCTACTTAAAAATTATTGACGTTCTCGTTCTACGTTCTACTGTAATGTGGAGTGTTTCTTTTTAACCTAATCAAAAAGGACCATTAAACACTCTTTATTTAGGATTGTTTTTCATTTTCAAGGGTGAAGAGTACCGGTAATTAAGACTTTCAGGACACAATCTTTTGTCCCAATACGTTTAGGAAGTTGTCTTGATAAATTTAGTTTTCCACTCAAATATAATAGGCCTAGGGAATTTATTGTTGTGTTTATTACTTAATATTATGACTGATTCTTATACAGAGTGGTAATAAAGTCCGAAGACAGTTAAATATTAAAAAAATAATGTAGATAGAGCTACAATACTTGGTACAAAGTTACAGAGCATAAAACTTTATTTTAACACATATTCAGTGATCCAATAACTCTTCAGGGGGACGGCCCACAAGGAGTCGGTCAAAAATCTTAAATGGAAGCATAGGTCAATATGCACATCAAATGAAAGGTACTTTTTAGTAGAATACAATGCCGCAAACCGCACTTCAAAAGGTTGATCCTGCGCAAAATGGCAGCCGTTCAAAAATTTCTTGAATCTGCCATTTTGTAGCTTTGAACGACATTTTTTACTCAGGTGTTCTTTTGAGCTTGAATTTACGGCATTTTAATCTACTATTGAAGACCTTTGAACTTGATGTGCATATCGACCTATGCTTACGTTAACAATTTCTTCCGATTCCTGAGGAGTAGGCCTAAGCGTATGATAGCAATGCAAAGTAAAAGAATCTTTGAACAACTGTCATTCTTGGCTCGGTTGTCCGTTTGAGTTCAAATTTGCGGCAGTATATTCTGCTAGTCAAGACCTTTAATTTGATGTACATGTCAACCTCAGCTTCTATTTAAGATTTCATCCTGACTCCTTGCAGGAGTCAGGAGTGTGTTCTTAAGTCCCCATGATATGACAGAAAATTTATATTTCCTAAAAAAAGTAGATTTTTAGGTGTTGTGTTGACGTACCAAATCTTATTGGTTTATCTGTTGTCGTTTCGAAAATTGTATTTAACTGTCTTCGGACTTTATTACCACCCTGTATAACTGGACTTCTATTTTGTAGGTATATTGCTCTTTCCTGAAAAAATTATAATTTAAATCCTAATTCTAATTTTCTGTTATGCATTTCAGGTAGCAATCAAAATAATAGACAAGACACAATTAAATCCTGGAAGTTTACAAAAGGTAAGTTTCATATACCATTTCATATTTTACTTATTTTATTAAATTTCTTTGCAACATAGTAATTATTTTGTTAAATAAAGTTTGTAAACAATTTGAATGGAGAAAAAAATGGCAGAAACAAGATAAATAGTTTGAGTTGATAGAAAATTAACAGAACATGGACAATTATAAGGAAGTAGACATTCCATGTTTCCACTTAACTACAATATATGAACTGTTCATGACAGAATTGCAAAATTATTATTCATTTTAAATTTTTGGTCAAAAATATGTGTAGGCTTACAATGAAATTTTACTTCTTGCTGTCCTGAATAAAAATATAGGTACTTGATGTTGTGGAAATGTTTACATTAGGCTACTTTATTAGTTAATTGGTATCAAATTGGGTTGCCCTAAAACCAGTTAGTTTGTTTTAGAACGTATAAGGCCTATGTTAAAAATGTGAAAGTTTTAAAATTGAACTTTGTTTATAAATTGTAATTTTTTTTTTACTAAAACTAACACTCATCTGAAACATTTGAAAAAGATCCTAGTTGCATCAAAAACAGGAAGTTGTGAGTGGTGACAGTCATTTTGAGAAAATGTTTTCTCAAGTAAGCAGTTCCCACTTCTTAGATGCATTAAGGAAGTATGCAAATTTATCCTACTTTCTGGATAGGGCCTAGTCATCATACTTTGACCTCATAAATCAAGTCATAGAAGTTAGCAAAAAAGGTTGCTCTATCTATTTACATAGTTAATCCATTTCGGAAAGCATACAACAATGATTTGCTTTTATACTAACCACAATAGGCTAGAATTTATTCTTATGTCTGTTTTTAATGTTTCAGTTATTTAGAGAAGTTAGGATAATGAAGATGCTAGATCATCCAAACATAGGTAAGTTGATGACAAATAGAATAATTATTGTTAAGGACAGTAGGCCTATTACCTAAGGGATGTAAACATTTCAAGGATTTTTAAAAATATTTGACTTTGGGGACAACACAGACACAGACAATCGTGATATAGTGTTTTACTAAAGAAAACGTCTTTATGTCAGTAAACACTAATTGAACAGTTGAGATTTATTTAATTGTTAGCTGTTGGTTTTATACTCTTGGTAACGGGTTAGCCAAACTCTAGTATTTGAACTAGTTGCAATCGTTACCAGAGTTCTGTTGTGAGGAGGTGTAAAAAGTATGAAATGAAAAATAACTTTATTATTAACTTTAATAGCTTAGTTTAGGCCTATATTTGTTGAATTTCATATACCCTAATACAAAAATCATGAGTTTAATAGCTTTTATGTTATTGTTATTCAGTTTTTATGTGGGATGTCAAAAATGATAAAATTATTAAAGTGTTGTAACTTATGCAAAGAAAATCTTAAGTAGCAAGAACCCAATTTGTACTTGGCAGGAGGAATTTGTCTTCAAATCACTTTTGGCTTATTTGACGAGGCTAATTCTTGCATAATGGTAGGAAACTGCTAGGAGTGGCTGAAGTGGTCCTTGTGTTGGTCTAAAATTTGAACTAGCTCGTTTTGCAGACTTTGAGAGATTGATGGAGACTTTTTTTGACAGCCCTTGAAATTAAACAGTGAAGTTGAAAAATGTATATTACACATTACAATTCCCATTTACATTTCTTACTTTAAAAAATTCAATGCAAATGATGTTTTGAATAGACAGATTTCCAGGATTACCAGTATTGTGTTGTGTTACAGTCAAGTTATTCCAAGTGATAGAGACAGATAAGACATTGTACCTGGTGATGGAGTATGCTAGTGGAGGAGAGGTGTTTGACTACCTCGTACTACACGGCAGGATGAAGGAGAAAGAGGCTCGGGCCAAGTTTAGACAGGTCAGTGCCGTAAAACACTTCTCAGCCTAAAAGTGTCAGGTTGCTTGGATTTTCCTGCTGAATTCAGCAAATATTGTACCCTGTGTCTAGCTGTGAGTCAAGTGACTTTAAAGGGCAGTCAGTATCTCACCTCACATGTAATGACCATTGATCTCTATACTATAAATGCATCACGCACTGTAATGCTCAGAAGTAGGCTCATATTGGTCGGTCGCCACCTAGTGGTGAACCGTCCTGCCTCAGCCATACACATAACATAGGGCTACCATGGTTTCATTGATAACAGTTTTCATATGTTTTCACATAACATATTAATACTTCTGCGGTTTCATGCAGATTACAACTTTGTAAATTATATGAAAATCAAGCTACTGTGCTCAAAGATGCAGCGTCTTTTGTGAGTGTGAGCTTGGAAACGCCATAAGATGTAATGTGTAGAGAGCAACAGTTCATAGGTTAAGAGAGCCGAGTGGCCGGACCGAGAACGCAACCCAGAGCGTGCAATCCAGTTGAAATAGAGATCAATGGTAATATTGTGTTAGAGCGTAAAATTCAAATTTAAACTTTTATAATAATTTATATTCATTTTCAGATAAGCTATTGCCTGGTTGTGGGACATGAGTTTATCTGGAATACGTAGGGTCTTACACCAGATTTCAAGAATGCTTTAAATAGAGAACCGTGAATACTATATTGTAAAAAACTGACGTTTTGTTCTAACCAAATAGATATCGCCTCTAGGAAAACGCCCATGCCAAGAAACACATTTTTTTTTTACTATGCCAGTGGTATTTTTAAGGAGCTATGAAGGAAATGAACAAACCCTTTTTGAGAAAGCGGTCCAAACCCATATGATTTTTGGATGTGCCGGTAATCAAATCCATTCCCCTCGCACTTAATTCTGAGTCACTTACCATAAGGCTAGCAACACAAATTTCCCAATCATGACACACTATCTCAGAACAAGGACTGGAATTATTCCTTTGGTAGACCTTGCATGGAAATAAATTAACTTTAGGGTTTAGGTTATTAATAATAACGAGCTGTTGGCCCGTCCTATGTACGGGAATCGAGTCCATTAAAACTGTATATAGTGTGTCTATTACTAATTCAGGCATAGTTTAATCAGTTCAAAATTGATAGTAAAGAAAAAGCTTCCAAGATGAGTTAAAACACGTAATCATTGTTATTTCCCCAGCCTTTCCTCAAAAAGTCGAATAGTAAAATAATTTTCATAGGCTTTCTTTTGAAGATTAGTGAGCTTCGATTCGTATACAGCAATGGTTATAGAATCTTACTTATTTCCTATAATCAATGACAAAATCTCAGAGTAAATAAACTAACCTCATAAATCTATAGAATATTTTTTATTCAACCAGCTGTTAGTTATAATAAATTATATTTCACTAAAACATACTAAAAATTTGAAAGATTGCTCAAAAAAATAAATTAGAACATCTATCATTTTACTATGTATATTTAAATAAACTCTCATCCTCTTACCGATTAGAATGTTGTAGCCCTTTAAATTCTGAAAAAATGGTACAAATCCCATTTCTATAAAAATTACGGTTCAAAAGTTATGGTAAATTATGTTATTTTCTCCATAAAAAACCCCATAAAATAACAAAAAATAGGATTTGAGAAAAAAATCCGGTTTTTATTCAACATAGTATGTTATGGTCCTTACAATTTTGATATTTTTTTCAATTTTATAGAAATTTTGATTTTTTAATGGGGATTTTCCCATAAAACCCCATAAAATAACGGAAAAATTGGATTTTCCCAAAAACGGCCATCACGATTTTGATAAAAATTTAGTATTTTATAGTCCTTTATATTCTGAACAAAATGGTACAAATCCCATTTCTGTAAAAATTACGGTTCAAAAGTTATTGTAAATGATGTTTTTTTCCCATAAAAAGCCCATGAAATAACGGAAAAATAGGGTTTTCCCAAAAACGGTCCGAAATATTTTGATAAAAATTTAGTATGTTGTAGTCCATTAAATTCTGATCAAAATTGTACTAATCCCATTTCCGTATATTTACTCTCACCGCTTACACATGATAAAGGTTGTTGACAAACTTATGGGAGAAAGTATGTGTCAGAATGCTGATACCGTTTATTTTACAGATTGTATCTGCTGTTCAGTATTGTCATCAAAAGAAAATCATTCACAGAGACCTTAAGGTGGGTGCTTATTTTTAAACCTTTGAAACATTTAGTTATATTAATTAATTGAAGTGTAGAAATTGTATCCCACCAGAGAAAAGGTTTTAATGTGTTGCTAGTAAATATCATGTAATAAGTTGTGCTTAATGCCAACTTTTTTGTATAGTCACCAATAATTGTGTGTAAAATAAATATATGTCAAATTGTAATTAAAACATAAGTAATGGTAAACACATTGACTGGCTTTCAGTCATGTCATTGAGACTGAACTAATCACCCAGATTGATCCCAGTTTTTTAAGTGTTAAATTATCTTAGCAAATTAATGTTTCATGCACAAAAAAGCAAGTTACACTTAAATTTTCTATTACTTCCATTACTACTTAAACTTGTTTTGACTAAGTTGGGATGCGATCTCGCATTTCCCACTCCTAATGTATCTGTAAGAACATAAACAGAAACATGATGTATTGATCTATTTTCTTTCTATGTTTATTGGCTATATTCTATGTAATAACTGACACTTTGCTCAATAAAAACAAAAATGTAATTAATTTGTATGATATTTATTTTTAGGCTGAGAATCTATTACTAGACAGTGAAATGAACATCAAAATTGCTGACTTTGGCTTCAGCAATGAGTTCACTCCTGGAAATAAGTTAGATACCTTCTGTGGGAGTCCGCCTTACGCCGCCCCTGAACTCTTCCAAGGTGCGTTGCCAAACTTGGGCTGGAATCTGTTCTTTCTCAGAGTGTAAACATGTTCAACTGCAAAAAAAACACAAGTACAATGGTGATAATATTTATAATTTTATGTTAACAAATAAAAAGAGCTCTGTTTTGATCATCTCTAAAACATATAAGCTTTTTTTCCGACACTTGATAAAAAAAGGTTTGAACCAACACATGAAAATTAACCACTTTGGGGTAGTTTGGAATTTTATAAATAATATTGTTTTTACATCTGTTTTGATTATAATTTATCTATGCTATAGTATGGTTTGTTTTTTAATTAGTTAGTTTAAGACCCCTTTACCCTTTTAAAAATGTATTAAATCTTTTCTCAAATAAAAACATAAACAAGATTCCCTTGTGAATACTCTGTTGTTCATTTTACTACGTTTTGCACATTGCAGGTAAAAAGTACGATGGGCCTGAAGTGGACGTTTGGTCGCTCGGAGTCATTTTATATACCTTGGTGAGTGGATCGTTACCATTCGATGGCTCGACGTTACGAGAACTAAGGGAACGGGTTCTCAGAGGGAAGTATAGAATCCCCTTCTACATGTCAACCGATTGTGAAAACCTGCTCAAGAAATTCCTCGTGTTAAACCCAGCGAAAAGAGCGTCACTAGAGGTGAGGTCGCATCTCAGATATTTGCTTTTATACTCTAGCGATATTCGTATCACATGGGTCTGCTAACCCATGATTTAATCAGGACGTTACTTCTTACTAAAGCTTTCTAACATTGGTAAGTGGGATTTGACTCACTTCTGAACTCTTTGTATTTTAGTCTTTTTAATTTATTCGTTTTAGTTTCATATCTATCTTGTTTGTTGTTTGAGCCATTATGTAGATTTGCATAGCACTTCATCTTCTGTATGCTTTTGATGTAATCGAGCATTAATCATGTTTATCTGGTTTGAAACGGTGGTCAAATGTCAATTGGATAGTTCTAGATAGTACATCTATGCTTTTAACAATATAAATTATTTAGTTAAATAATGTACCTACTAACAGTAGCTTCTCGGCTGAAGTTGAAGCATTAGTAAGCTATATAACTTGTAAAGCCTATTGTAACCTTAACAGATGCCAGTTAAATACACAAATTCCAATAACCCTGAATAAAAGAGCTTCATGGCTTTTATTTCCTTTGGTCCTAATTATCTACACTAACTTAAGTAACCAAACAGTATTTAGATTTCTTTTTAAACAACAGTTTGATTTGCAAATAATAAAAGAAAGAGGGATAAAAGACATACAAACTATTTAAGTAAATGTTCTAGTAATGAATTAGTCGCAAAGAAAAGTATTAAACATAATAGGCTACACAGTAAATTTATTGAAATTGTTAAGTTTTCCCCTAATGTTAACTTTATATGCCTCAAACATTGCCAAACATGACTAAACTCGAGATAGTAAATCAATTTATTAAAGTTAGGTAACACACAAAAAACACTTTTTATTGGGGATGTTTTGTAATGATAAACAACAGTTAAAATTAATACTATTCAACCTATTTACATTTCAATTTTCTTGCATGTTGCACTAAGAATATGTCATTCTCTTCCAAATGCACTCATTATGAAATTTTTAGATTCATGTTTTAACTGTACATGATGTCATGAGTGGTAGCACATTATATTATGCTAATGTTTCACTATAGTTGCTTCTTAGTTTGAATGCTTTGACGGGACTCAGGTGTTTGGCGATATTTGTATGAAAGCACAGCTAAAACAATGGCATTGCTCAAAACCTTGATAATGTTTCTTGGTTAAATATGTGGTGAAAAAAAGGCCAACTACTGGAGAAGACTGCTTAAATATGGACAGGGGTTTGTAGCCAGAACCTTTTTTGTAACCTTTTTTACTTTTGATTGGGTCTTGCTAAGTAAAAAATATTGATTTCAGTTCTCGGTCCAATATGAGGGCCTGCCAAAATCATTACTTTGGAGAATTTTGATTGAAATTATCACACTCCAATAATCGGTTCCTCAAAAATTGTACATAACATTCTACCGTTGTCGCATTGAAACCAAAACCACCGTAACTTGCAGTCGCAGTGAAATGATGCTATATTATGTGGAATATATTCCACTGTTGTTCCCCATGGTTGCAGAGACATTATCATTTTCTCTACGATCCAAGTCAGTCGGCTACGATAATGTGAACATCTGTGGTCGCCGTGAAATCATGGATGCCTCCTGCAGTTGTGATGAAATCGTGAGCGTCTCCTGCGATTGCGGCAAAACTGAGAACTAATTACGTCTTCTGCAGTCAATCACGATCCCTAGAGATCATAGCTGTTTGCGATGGTTTTAAGCAATGCCGTTGTCACAAATGAACCAAACGCTTGAGCCGCGGTGGCAGGTGTTTGGTGTATGACATGGCAGACTAAGGCAGGACAAGGAGTAAGAAAAGTCTGTACATTGCAGGGCTCGGCTTACAGCGCCCCACAGAAACCTGGCGAAACTACGCAGGAACCATATGTAAAGTATCAGACCTAAAGTTTTTCTTAAGGTTAAGAACCCGTCACACTTGCTTGCAAAAGGGTTGAAAAGTGTGGGGTTGGAACAGTTTGTGTAGACTTAAAAATTGTAAAAAATAAAAAAAAAACAGATTCACATTCATTACTCACATTGTCGGATTTCTTATATCAGTTATTTTTCTCTTGCGTGTTATAAAATAAGCTTTTTGCTGTACTATTTGCTGAATGTTTTACCATGGTCGTACTTTCTGACAAAATCCCCATAAATTGTGAAGTTTTGGACATTGTGAAGTTTTAATGTTCATAGGATCTCGGTATTTTAATAAACTCATTATAGTCTCTAAACTTATTACTAAATGGTGTGGTGTAATCTGTATAACAAAAAATAGCTGAAAAGTAATAGACATCCCATCGATTAGAACCTGTTGTAACCAGTTTTTTCTCAACAAGAAACATACAGTAAACTCACTTTTTATGCAAAGCCATAATAATAATCTCAAATCAATTGGAAAAATAGTTTGCCATCGGGTAATGTGCCAAGGCGATGACAGTAATGAAAATAGTGTTAAAACAACTGTCCTAGATGTGTTATCACTTTCTGTAGTGTTTTAATTTTTACTCTAATATTATTTGAACCTAAATAGCTTTTAAATTCCAATCATGGATTACCGAAAAAATAGCTATCCAAAACAGCCTCGCGCCATTTATTGGGTTAATCAGGGATTTACTGTGAATGAACAGTGTTTTACTATTTGAACAGTATCACTTTCTGTAGTGTTTTAATTTTTACTCTAATATTGGTTACAACTTTAACTCTGGAATGGAATGTCTACTTGTCGTGATTGGTTATGTGCATGTTAGTTTCTAACTGTTTGCTGTTGAAAAAGTAAACCTTGCCAGACTAGTAGTTAGTTTAGTTTAAATTTGTTTTCCGAATTGAATTGTGTAAATACATGATTGAACTCTTGTTTGTGTACAAATTAATCAAGATTATACTTTGTAGTTGGTATGAATAAGGTGCTTCTCTTGCTTTATTAGCTTTATCACTCGTTATCAATCTAGTTTATCATGTAACCGTAAAACTTTTCCAGGTCTCAGAAAGTCATAATGGTTAAAATTTGTAATACAAGTTATGGCCTACTATGTATAATGTTTACATGTTTTTTGAATTATGTTTTATACCGTTTGTGTATAGGCCTATGAAGATAGCCAATGGTAGTTAAGTCCCTGCTTAGTATCCAGTGACATGTTTAAATTTTCCTGGGTCTTTGTATTCAATTGTATGGTGGGATAACAGACTCAACTAAGTTAATTAAGTCCATCCTGTTAAGTCTCACAATATCACAACCAACTTTAAATAGCCTCCCCATTTTGCTGTCATTTATAATTTGTAATAGATTATCGCTTATTCATGTCTCTTCACTATATTTACTTCATCTATGAATTAAATTACAACTAGTTACTATGTCAAGATCTAAATTTCACTGTTCTTCTGCTTACATGTTAACAAAAATCAAGCGTTACAAGTCTTGTGAGTTTCTCATAGTTAAGGTATGCATAAGGCTGGTCTTCATCACTGGTTTGGTTTCAGAACATAATGAAAGACAAGTGGATGAATATGGGTTATGAGGAAGACGAATTAAAACCTTACGTTGAACCTGATTCTGACTTCAAGGATCTTAAAAGGATAGGTGAGTTTGTCTAGTCTTATTATTGTTAGAAACTTGTCACTGATTGTATGCATAAACAATGATAAGTAGATATATTTTCAAACTGAGTTCAGGTCTTTTAACTAAACTATACAGTAGAATTTCAATAGTTCCACACTCTAGATCGAGACTCAATATTTCGACACTGTGTTAATCGTCACTCCTATATTTCGACACAGTCTATGGTAACGGCCAAAGAAGGGTTCGTTGAGGTGCGTGACCGTCCATCACATAGGTGGGTCGAGTCAGTTCGCTTGAGACTTTAAGGGGGAATTACAATTCACTTTGGTTTTCATTCAAAATCTTAGTGTTTATCGTTAGTGTTAACCCATTGGGGAAGGAGTTAACGTGCTACCTGCAGGACCCTCGGGCAGCAATTAATTTTACCGAATTTGTAGACTTTTACTCCATGAGTTATAGAAATAAACCTTAGAGGATAAATTAATAATTCTTTTACCATTTTTTTTACAATAAAATTGTCTACAAAAAAGTGGTCATTTCATAATCAAAGTGTAAAATAAAAAAATAAAATTATAAAAATCATAAACAATAAAAATTGTTAAACAATTTTAAAATAAACTTGCTTTACAAATCCCAAGATCAATCCAGACACCAAATGACACTATTATTGTAAAGTTCAATTGATTCCCTACGTAGAAAAATCACAAGTTGTTTACTTTTTAAGTAATTACATAGAAAAAAATGTTTGTTTTACCTTAAACGCAGCTGATTATGGGTGAAATCAGATTTCCTTGGCAACACAAACTTGTTTGTTATTCGCAAAAATAAATGAGTAAATATGTAAAACAAGAAAGAAGATATTTATAAACATTAAGAGGCCTAAAATGTTAATTGAGTTTTTTTTCATAAGAATTCGTACATCTAGGCCTACAATGAATGTTTGATATTGCTTGAGTTATAGACTCAAAGTCGTCTTCAATATTGTCATCATCAATATAATTTAAATTACTTAAAGAATTACATAAAAGTCATGGAGTTTGTCACATCATTGGAAAAGAGATCATAACCCATTTTGAACAACTCACTACGCACGGACAGCATACAAACAACAAAACCATAACATAGGTTAAACATTTTTGCCATTTGCAAACTCACGACAGCTGTTTCAGTTCAGTCGGAGAGAAACAACATAATTATAACGATAAAAATACATCTCTAAACGGCCGTCTCCAATAGTCACCACGAAGCCCTGAATTAGCTGAACAGTTAGTATAAGTAAGCAAAGTATCGAGAATCGGAATCGGCCCATCCCTTTTAAAAATGGCAGAAACAAGCAAAAAGTGTTTAGTTAAAATGTAAATTAAATTAAAAGATCTTGTGTTTTAAATACTCCAGGTGTTTGAATGTTCATTATACTCCTTATAGTTCAACCCCTGCTTAGTCCACAAAGTGTCTAACTATCAAAGTTCTACTATATTTTTGTTTGTAGTTCCAAAACTATCATTTGGTAAATTAGTTACAATAAAAAGAGTATAGACCTGACTTTGTTAATACTTCAAAGTCACTGTAAGATGAGCCAAGCTCTGTTGTTATTTGTTGATCTCTTTCTGGTCATTTGTTCGCTAAACTGAAAGAATGAGTATTCTTGAGTGTGGCAGATTGCGTGAAAATATAATAATAATATCTATGGTTCTTACCGTCAACGCAATCAGGGGTAATATTCCACTACGGCCGTTTCGGAGATGACTCCATCGTCAGGTGCGTAGTGGTACACTAAACTATAGTCTTGTCACATTTAACACAAACTTTCTTCATTTGCATTGCGTCAGGGGTTGAATAAATAATACACATATAAGCACAGGACGGACACACGAATACACGAAAACATGAATACACAAAAACATTTAGAGCGTGTGCACGGCTTGAAAACTGACGACCGACCAAATATAGTTCAGTGTATCACTACGCACCTGACGATGGTGTCATCTCCGAAACGGCCGTAGTTTAATATTACCCCTGATTGCATTGACGGTATGAACCATAGATATTATTGTTATGAAAGAACGAGTTTTTGGAGATTTATTAGACCAGTAAAATTCACCAGAATTTAGCCACTTGTCTGTGAAGGTAAACGTTTGCATTGGAGGAAAAATACACAAGATATTATTATCCAGCTTTGTTTCTCTATATATTTCTGAACCTTTTCTGTTCTTGCAAATTCACGATGTACTTTGTTCATTAGCAAATTTTTTTCTTACATTAAAACTTTTTATTTAATCTGAGTGCCCAGAGTTATTTGTAGTAATTACAGGTTGTCCTGTTGTAGAAGCCCTAGTTGGAATGGGTTACAGTAGAACAGAAATTGAGGACAGCTTAGCGCAAGCTAAGTATGATGATGTCTTTGCAACGTACCTGCTACTCGGACGAAAGTCTACCGATGTAAGTAAACGTATTAATGTTTTTATTGTTATTTTATTAATTTATTTAAAAAAAATCATTGCTCACATGAAATCTGGGTCTGGATCAGATAAGAGCGGTTTAAAGAGTTGGAAAGAACATGGATCCTTTAGATCCTATAGAATGAATCCCATAGAACATGAATCGATTGACCCCTTATTTTTTAGATTGGACGAATATTAACTGAGATACTGTATGGCTTCTTTAGTGATATGTGACCGCATCCCTCGGCATGCACTGCAACTAACCTCCAGCGGTCACGTATCACTAAAGAAGCCATATCTCAGTTAATATTCGTCACATCTAAAAAATAAGGGGTCAATCGATTTGTAATTAAATTGCTTTAAAAAAGTTATTGCTGTAAAATGTTTGTAAAATCAACGGTTTTTGAGTTATTTAAGAAACAAAATTGTATTTTGTTTTATGAATTTGAAAAATTTTCATAATTCTTTGGTAGCTTTGTCTAGTTGTCATAAATGTTTGTGCAAATTTTCAATCTTGTATATTAAACTATTCTTTAGAAAAAAAATTAATATGTGAAAAAACAAAATGGCGGCTGTATAAGTAATTAAGGACAATTTAAATATGATATGTGATATGTTTCTTACTCAGCAACAATGCCCTAAAATTTTGGTAGAAAGTTCCGGGACACTCTGTATTTCCAATATTTTGGGTAGTTGAAATATGGAATCTTTATGCCTAATGTTTTATGGGTGACGTTACAGCCGGAGAGTGATGGGTCAAGGTCAGGAAGTTCACTGTCACTGAGGGGTATGACACCAGGCACAGGCACGCCAGCCACCACGACCAATGCTCAGTCTCCCAGCCATCGGGGTGTACACCGATCCATCAGTGCTACCAACGCCAAGCCTAGCCGTCGCGCCAGTAGCGGTGGAGAGACCCTGCGTGAGTCGACTACGCCGGCCAACGGGGGTGCGCACTTACCCTTCCCCCTCCCACCTCACACTGGCTGATGCAGAGATGGAATTGTGACGATGGGATTAATTTTTACCTAAGCCAAAAAAATGTACAGTACAATCTTGTTAAGTCAAATCAGACGGGACCACAGGCAATCTAATATAACAATATTTTAAAAGAGTAGAAATCAGTCAAAACTGAAATGTATACTTAAATTCCCTGTTTGGGCACGAGTGAACTCTGGAGATGAACTCAGCAATTCCCCAAGTCGCTACTGTTTCTTTTAGCACACCGGGGCGTATTACAGCAAGCCTATACGGCTGAGAAATTCCAGATATATACGTAGATTTCCAAAAATAAAGCTACAAACTTACCGGTCAAAGAAAAACAAACTATTAACTTTAAAAATTTCAGGAAATTAAATTAAATCTTACTCAGAAAATGAAATAATTTTACTAAACTAAAATTGTGTCTTAAGTTTTTTTTTTATTTTTATTTTTTCTTATTTAATATACAAGTTTATTACAGTTTTCATTGCAATATGGAAAAGAAATTACAATAATCTTCTTAAGCAAAATTTTCAAAATATGATCGCAAATTATCACGTTGTTGAGCCTGTGGTCCAATCACTAGGTTTGTACCAATATTTGACAAAATTACCAATTTCAAGCCCCGTGGTTCCACATTTTTTGTAATGAACCATTTAACACTATTCATTATAATTTCAAGTTCAATAATCCCATGAAAATAAAATTTTGAAAATACATTTTTTGACCAAACCGGGCCTACATAACGAGGTTTTACTGTATTAATTTTGGTCAATGTTCAAATTATGAAAGTAATTTTCTTTGTTTTAAACTGAATACACCACCTCAAGATTCCGCTCTGCATTTAGCCGCCTCCCACAGAATACCACAGTATTTTAAGTTAGCAATGTTCTTTTTTGGAGAGATAACAAAAACTCTATAAAGTTTTAAACAAAACTAGCTTACCCTTTTCTGAAACGGCAATGGTAAACTTCTAATCTATTCTTCCTTCTGCTGGGCTTTTTACATCTTAAGCACATCTTGTGTTTACTCATTCTTGCTATTTTTAATTTAATTTAAACATAAAATAAATTTGGCTTTTTACACTTTCACTTTACTTATACAAATTTGTTGCCAAAACATAAATTTAGTAGAATCAACGTAAGTAACAAAAAATAAAAACTTTAAATTTTAAAAACCTTTTTTTTACTAAAAATGTCTCTATAGAAAGGTGTACTAGCTCAGTTTGACTAAAGACACAAACTCTTTCTCGGTGGTTCAAACCGGGCTGTGGTGAAAGGTTCCTGTTCCCTTCCTTTTATGAGCTTAGAATGAATGCTTCAGTAGATTTTGGCTTGATTAACACATACAATTGTCTTAACATTATTAGACTGACACCTTGGTTTTCTTTTCATTAACACTTTTCTTTTAATATTCAAATCCTTGTGAAGTTAAATTATCGTAGTAGTCAATAAATTTTAAAGAGGTAAGATATGAAATTTGTTTTAATACTTTAAGGCTTTTGTCAAAAGTTTTAAATTCTTAATTTTGTTGTGTCAGTCAGCCATTAATGGTATATTAATAATAAATTAAATATACTATACTTATAAAGTATGTGTAATCGGGCTTAAATCTTAATCAGCATTCAATTCTTACTTTTGTTCTATTTACGTCCCCGTTTTATTTTGTCTTGTATTGCACCATACCGTTGAACGATCATTTACTCATAATGTTGAATGTCGTTTATTTTAATGTTTACCTAGATATTGTACCTCACTTGTGTTAACGATTTTTCAGTTGCCTCTTGTCTTGTTGATGTGTAGTCCTCCATTTTGTTACGGTAAAAAGTGTATAATGTTACACCATGTTGTGAAAAATTGCCATTTTCATAGTTGAATTTATTACAAATTTATATTTACTGAACAAGACATGAACGAGGCATGTAAAACCCTAGCATGTCCATTGATCCTTTAGAGGAAAACTTAAAACTGACCGTAGCGTAGCATGACATTCTATATCCCTTGTAATGCAAATTATCTTGCACAAAAGTTGTATAAAGTTGTATAGGACTAGCGTTAATTTTATAAATATTATTTTTACTTTGCAACAAATTTCATTGGTTACAATCAAACATTTGGTGTTAAATGTTTGTCTGTGTACTCTATGTTATGTGTTTAAAACCGAAATTACTGAAATGGGGAAAGATTGGAATGTTGGAAAATTTGGGATTTGTTATAAAAATACTGATTCAAAAAATGTGTGTAAAGTAATGAACTTACAGAACCCGAAGCACTTGAAATTTGTTGGCTATAGTCATGCTTCCCCTAGATGCTTGTTGATATCTGATGTATATTTTTGTCTTGTGCATGTATTTGTTGACCTACTCCCGTCGTCCGTTGGTGTTTATTTTGCACAAGCAGAGCAGATTTTCCCTGCCTCCCCCATATGTTTTTGCACCAATTGTTTACATATTTTTGTGTAGTATAATCCTGAAATAATATTGTTTAAACATTTTTTCTTAGTTTATACAAACAGTTCTTCCCTCAAAAGGACGTCATCTTTATGTGATTACATTATTTATTTATTTTACTTATTGTTAAGTGATTCAAGTTAATTTGGAGTTGAAATTTGAGACAAACATTTTTTCCGATGCAGTGATTTTTACAGAGAAAACAAGCAGTTAAGCTTGCAAAGGAAATTCAAAAGCATGGAATAGTGATGTGTTTTGTGATGATTCGGTGAAAACGGATGCTTGAGTGGTCTCAAGAATCCAAGAAATCTGTGCTATGAAGAAACTACATTCTCTTGACTCCCAGTGTATGCTACTGTGCAGTGTGGTGATTTTTTTAAATGTTGTGATAGTTACATGCTTGTTATTGATTGAAATTACTAGTGAGACTGGTATGAAGTGATAACCAACATGGAATTCTATCATTAGTGTATTGTACTTTCATTCTAGCCTGAATGCCAGGACTTGATTATTTTTTGGTTTCAACAACATGGAAACATTCTGTAAGCTACTTAAACTTTCAGTATAACTAATGTATTATTGTCCTCATTTAAAAATAGTCATGAAAAACTACAAAATCAAAGGAAAACTAACAGAAATCAATATTGTTTCAATTAATGAATAGTTTGTATTAGCAAGATAGATAGTGAACTATTTTATTGGCCACTTTGGTTTATTTTGTATTTGTGTTAGGTGTTTGAAAGAATATGTTTATTTTATGTGCTGATGTCAGTTAAACCATGTCAGTCTATAATCATGTAAGTACTGTAGAAATACACATATTTTGTTAAGATGCCTTTGTCCATACGGTTGTTTTGTTAATGTTTCCATATCTAAAGTAGGCAATAAAAAAATTAAGTTTTAATTTATTTTAAACTATGACAATCGATTGTAAGGGGGGCACGGCAAATTACTCTTCTTAGCTTATTATTTTTGAATTGTGCGAAACCAATGGAACGGGAGTAGGTTTTGTCAAACCCTTACTTATTTGTTTTATTTTGTTCAGTGCAAAATAGACGGCTGCTTAGCCTACTAGGTGAGTTATATTTATTTTGTTGATTTTTATTGATAATTCATTAATTTTAAACAAAAAGTCAACTGAATTGAAAAAATATTAAGCATGACTTATTTTGCATTTACAGATTTTACATTAACTACAATAAAATAGTTTATAGATGTACTAACATTAACATGTGTTAAATCTAATTCTATGAATCAATTTAACCAATTTACTTATGCCAACCTTGGTACCGAAAAAAAATTCAATGTGAAAGTATTTTTTTTATTTAAGATTTTCAACAGTCACGAATTCTCTGTTTCATAAAATTTAAGTACGGTAGTAATTTATAAAATTAAAATTGCAGCAAACTCTTTATCAAGTAGAAGCTGCTTAATCATTTAGGGTGAGGCTTGTTATAACTCTATTGCAATATTTTCTCACCACATCAATCGATCATTTGGGAATTTGATCTTTTCTAGGTTGAAATTTGCTTGTTTAAACACTCGTTTGGCTTGTTCGGCAGTTATCATCATATATTTTTCCTACAGTTACCTAACAAAGTACATGTTCTCTCACTGATTTGAGAAAGCAAAGTGGCCAATTCGCTCATCCTCACTCTAATTACTTTGTCTCACTCCAGATTTGCAACGTGAAGGCACAAAATAGTGAGCGTGTAACATGCAGACAATGTCGTATGCGCGCGAAATACGTTGGCAGCACTGGTTGTAAATCAGTCAGCTGATTTATTAATGCTACTTTCACATTAAATGCCACAAGTTCACTTCTGTGTAAAAATATGTTACGTTTCTTTACCAATTTATTTGTTTTATGGTAACTGTAGGAAAAATATAATGTGCAACTCGAGTACAAAGTCCAATTGCCTCACTCGAGAAACCATTCCTTGAGTAAGGATTTCTCTCGAGTAAGGCAATTGCTCACTTTGTTCACTAGTTGCACAAATAACTATTGTATTTTGAGGAATTCTTGCATTGTCAGTCATGAATAGCACATTTCATTCAGTTATGAATGCAACTAATTCCATATTGTGGTTTAGAATAGAAAGAACTAACACAATTCACAATGTTCACAGTAACTCAACCTATATCGACCTTAGATTTTGCTCAAATGTATACATCGTAGAACTGAATTGAACAGTTAATTTTACTTTCTAAATCTCGCCTTATTGCTTAAAATCCTAGATTCATTGTATACATAAAAGTAGGTTAAGTCTTTTTATTTGAGGAATTTAGTCTTTTTCCCCGTTAGGTGATGTGATAACACAGATTTAAGAGTTGAAAGCTGTCCTCGTCTATTTTTGATATTTGTATTGTTTCAAACTCCCAAGAAGTTTTACTCCCAAGATGTCTTCTGTTTGGTGACCTGGTCAAATCACACTTGTCTTGTCTGCTTCACGCTTACCCCCACTCCTCCACTCACTAACCCTGGTGCATGATGGTAAAATTTCACCAATCCGACACTCGCTTCTTTCTAAATTGCTGCGGTTGTACTCAAAAAATTTATCCAAATCAGTCATATTAGCATGCTTTGTTCATCTTTGGTATTTTAAGATTTCTTTCTCGCACAAACTAATGCGTCTGAAGAGTTTGCTGTGGAATTATTTAATTAGAATTTGATCAATATTTTGGTTGGTTAATTCTTGACTATATTTTGCAGTGGCAGAATTTTTGGTTGTGTCAATAAAAAATGAGAATTGTTATTTTTATTTTTTATCGTGCTACTTATCTATCTAGTCTAGTGCCACTAGGCTTATTAACAGTTGGTACTTTTTTTACTAAAATTGCTCAATTTTAATTCTTAATACTCTTATCATTAACTTATCCCACTTAAAAATAATTGTCCTTTTTTAGATATACATGATTCAACTTAGGTTGTACTCACTCGTAAATCTGAACCATTTTTTTCTCGTAGCAATTAGCTCTTAAATGGTTCAATCCTTCTGTAGTATAAAACTATTCTAAAAACATTGAGGATTCAAAAATAAATATATTTTTTTAACCCTTACTGGACAGGTTATATGAACCAGGATGGTCAAAATTTATGAAATGGAAGAAATCTTTTTTAATTTCTTTGATTTTTGATATTCTAAATAAACAATCACAAATTACTTTTTCAAACGTGAATATTTGTTTGCAATTGAGACTGTTACCTGTCTGTGAATACAAAAATTACAAATGTATCCACAACCCATCTTTACAAATATAACACATGCCAATCACAAATTAAGACTGGTTACACGTTTATTTGACGAGATTTTATTGAAAAAAGGCCGACCTTGTATGGTAAATTTGAATCATATTTTTGACCTAGAAGAATATTTTCATAAACAAAATTACGTATTAAGTATTTCAAGAGTGGTATGCCACATACGAGATCACAATACTTATGCAGAGTACAGGAAAATAGTGCCATAGCAGCGCAAAACGGCTGGTTCCTGTATAATCACCTGCCTGTCTACGGAATTGGTGGAAATATCTGCTTCTTGTCTTCAACATAAAAAAATATTTTGTGGATATATCCGTCATGTCCAAGAAGGGTTAAAAACAATGATTTGTAATAGACAATAAACTGACCTCAATTCTCAATTATTCAATTATTTATATCACAAAACCTTTAATTCATTTCACTCTACAACCCTATGAGGTAAGGAACATTTTTTTGGTGGATATAAATCTAATCAAGCTCCACCTCTAAAATGGTTTCAAAATTTTTATCGCCAAAAATAATGTTTGTACAACTACCAAAATTCAACAATTTCCTCACCATGACATAGGTTATTGTACTAAGTTTGCTGACTGTTATGTGTGTAAAGGCGGAGTACCAGCGGGCGGCACTGCCAACACGACCAACCACAATCACAGTAGCGGCGGCGGCAACAGCACCACCGCGACTGCCAGCAACTTCAAGCGGCAAAACACCGTGGACTCGGCTACCATCAAGGAGAATACTGCGAGAATCAACTCTCGGGCTCCGGCCAAGACTGCCAACCTACCTGTGCTTGACACAAGTAAGCCACTGTAGTGATAGAACACATTATTGAAGGTGTCCTTTGGATCAGTTACTGAAAGTCTAAATTCCGGAAGGTCAAATTAGACCTTCGGCACACATTTTGCCCACTGATACTGTTTTAGACCTTGCGAGATTTAGACCTTGGGCTAGCAACCTATATTTTGTAAACAAATCTTTATGTCCCGGAAGGTCTAAAAATGTGAATCCCGGAAGGTCTATAAATAAGATGAAAGTTGTTAAAGGTGTAAAAATGTGGGCATTGCGTCGCAATGCTTAACTACGACCGTTTTTTTTCAACTATCAGTTTCAGTCCAGTTGAAATTGAAAACCCGTGGAATTGAAAAGATTCACTTAACAGCTTTTTTTACTTACTTAATATCTAGCATTATTTTTTTTATCAACAACACGAGTAACAGACCAATGTGGTTCAAGGAATGAGAGAAAAGACGTACAATTAATTATAATGCTTTAACCATCACCTAAGCTGTTCAGACCAATTTATTTCTTGATCAGTATACTTGGAGTCCTCCAGCCTATGATCCATCGATTGGATAATTTTTTGTATGCTGGGATCTCCCTGTAAATCTAAAAAATCTACAGTTATGGTTTTTCATATTGGGGATGTGGGAAGGATAAGGAAAGGGCTCCCAACAACACTTGAGTCACACTACTAGACAAAAGCCTCCAACAAAATTAATTGTGTAGATGACTGTACAACATATCGAAAGTGACAGTGAAGGAAAGTAGGTTTCTTATGTGCATGTGCTCACCACTCTAGACTCAATCTATAACTAGGAGTTGTGCTGTTATCTGATGTAATTTCACTGTAAAATGTTGTCCAAAGTGAACCTAGCAACGTTTTGACTCTAGTGTCTTTTCAATATTTCATTGCACTATACTCTGGTAAACGTCACAAGTAGCTTTGGTTACTACACGATTTAATTATCCTTTACACATGAGGCATCTCTTGAAAATTGCTCGGTAAGATCCACCAGAATACCAAAGATTCCCTGATTTTTGTACGTGGAATAAACACCCTGTTGAGGCCTACAATGAGAAACAATTTATAGTATAAAAGTAAACCCAAGATATGAACCACAAAATTTGTATGTGTAGCGGGAACAGCAGATGGAGCTAGTCCTGGCAAGCCCAGAGTGACCAAATCCAACACTATGCAAGGCAACCGTATGTTTGCTCCATCCGCCTCCATGGGACGACGGTCAACCATCAGTTACGAGGCGAAGGCCAGCAGCAACGAGAAGACCAACACTACAGGGGAGACACCGAGGTGGGTGACCTTTCAAAACTTTCTGTTCCATCAATGAATCATCGGTTCTTGATACCGAGTGACTCAGATTCTATTTAGATTTAAGAATATTGCACCAAAATCTTAAATTTCTGACTTTACAAAATTTACAGACATCTTCTGAAATCGGCTCAACCATCCAAGATTCCTCTATAAAAAAGTGCGGAAATTATAAAAACCATCCTAAAAAATGGTGGGTTTTACCATAGACAAAAAGTATTAAATATAGACTGTCAGCCATGCTGCGGTTACCATAGGTTCTGGCGCACACCGCTGGAAGCGCCGAGTAGTTACGTAGCGCGTATACCGTAACTACATGGTGATCCCAGCAGTGTGCGCCAGAACCTATGGTAACCGCAGCACAGATGACAGTCTATATTTCATCCATTTTGTTTATGGTTTTACTCAATATTTTACTCTGTCAACAAAGCTTGAGGGACGAGATGGTCTAGTGGTCCTGGGTTCAATCACCAATTGATTTTATCTAGTCCTAGCCTGATGTAATTTAAATGTTAAACTATTCTGGGCTGGAGCCTATCCATCGTTCTAGGGTGTGTTGATGGGAGATGAGAGGAACTAACCCTGAACTTGTTTTCAAGCAATTTCCACTAAATATTTGATTGAATGTATTCAATATTAATAGATAGTTCCTATGAAATACATTCATTACAGTTTATGAATATTGGTTTTAAATTGTTAAAATAATTGTTTCCATTTTTAATAATTAAAAAAATCACCAGAAATGTCACTGTTTCTGGATGTAATTAAACTTTAAAATAATAACTCCTGAGTAATGCTGACTTACTTATTACAGGTAAGGCTTTCGCTACTTAGTCCTTTTCAACCCTGTTCTTAATCAAACCTATTAATAGTTGATTTATTATTTGAATGGTGGTCAGTTGCACAGTTTAAAAATAATTGACAAAACACGTCACTGGTTAAATAGTGTGTCACTAATTACCCGTAAAAAATATTCTTTACTTACTACTTTTTAAAGTATTGTATCATTGTGACAATGTATTAGGTCTTTAGACAGTAGGTTGTTTCATTTTGGGTTTGACTTTAATTGTTTTATTTTGTTTTACAAGGAGGCCTTAGACAGCCACTCCAAATCCCAAAATGTGGTTTTATGTGTTAGAAACCTTGCGTGGTTTTATTGAAGTTGTTTCATCATAGGACATATTTAGTGGAGTAGTGTTTACTTTACACATGCAAATACCCTATGACATCTATATTTATGATGGAATGCCAGTATATATACAATCTACTGTCAACATCAAAAATCATCTCCAACACTTCTAATGTAACAATGGATGTTGCTAGATGACTGACATGCCTTCTTTACACATAACACTGTAAACTCTTTTAGTAACAGGAATGTTTATTTAGTTATAGTAAATTGGATACTAAAAACCTATTTACTAACAATCAAATCCAAACAAAAATGTAAGTCTCCAAAATAAAAAAAATTAAACTTTTTACGTTACAAAAAATCAAGTTATCCTATCATCAGTGGTTCAGGAAACAACAAATAACAACAATAAACATAAATATCAAGTTATCAGTAAAAAAATTAAAATGAGTCCTGAGTTTTTAAATACAAGGGCTATTCAGAAAGTAAGGAACATTTATGATTAAAAGACAAAGTGTGTATAAAGTTGTATTACTGTGTGTATTTTATTATTTTATTTTATATTTTTGTATTTTATTATTCGCCAAGTTTACAATTTGGGAAACTAAACTAGTGAATGTAACTCAGGGCAAGGTCTGAATTAAGAGTGGTTGAGGTAAAATCTCCCATTTGAACGAGTGACAATAACAAAATTTGGACGTCCAATTAAGTTCGGCCATTTTTAAACTGAATGCACCATTTCTGGACTGAAATAAATTTTTGTGTTGTTTCTGTGCACTTCATAAATACCCGACGATAATTTATTTGGGTTTTGCCAACATAAACCAATTACAGATCAAACCTCACAACTAACAAGATTTTCTACAGCAAACTGGTTCAACTTGAATATTGCAATAATAATACGACACTTCTGTTGTGACGGCTGGACAATTACTGAGGAAGCGAACATGTCTGTACATGCCTAGCCACATGTCTTAACGGAAACGTTCCTTACTAATTGAATAGCCCTCGTATATCCACCCAAGCCGTCGTTACCGAAGGACTATAAGTTAGGTTGTTGGGTTGCTGCAGTGTGGTGACCGTGGACAGTCGCGCAGGCAAGGGTCACATCAAGTCTGCGTCTATATCCACCTCGTCTGGACGGCCCACTCATGAACTAGAACCCTCTCTAGATCCTCTCCGACAAAGGTACCCTGTCCTAACGTCTCAGACACCTACACTTTACTTCGCTGCCTACTATCTGTAGAAGTAGTGTTTTGCTGAGAGTAAATGTTTAGTTACAATAAGTGCAGCCTCCTTTTTTTAAATTGTTCCTATCGCGTAAAATTGTATTTGATCTATTTTACATTTTTGTGGATTTATTTCTTATCCTATAGATTGAGAAACTGTGAAATAATTTTCAATTATTAAAATAGAAGGCCTGCCAAAACATTTTAGTGGTTCCTCAAATATCAACATTGGTTATCGATTTGCATACTCCTTATTTCTTTTCTGTTCAAAATTGTTTCATCGAGTATTGTATTTAATTTTACTTTGTTGAAATGTATAAATCCCTAGGTATTATCATTATCAGTGAATTGCAAATTGTATTCTCATATTGACTCAAAGTTCCAGAATTGTGGATGAAATGTTTTGAAAATAATATCAATCAAGATGTAACTAATACTTCAACAGAAATATTTCTATTTGGACTAGTACACTTCATATTCAGTTTTATCAACACTGAACTAGATAAGCTACTAATATGTTCGATACCTATCTTAACATTCACAAACATATTTATCAATTAACTTTTCATTTCCTATTAGCGTGCTCTGATTCTCATCGTACTCTCATTTAGAGTGCTTTAATTTTTGTTTGTTCCGTTTATGATTTTGCTGATGACTAGTTTGGTATTTGATCGACCAGTGGCTATGTTAGAGACTCGGCAAGGAAGCAAAGTAGGTTCTGAGATCACCCGGCTCACACAGTTTGTGCTTGGTGTGCGGCACTAATGCATGAATCATCCATCACATTCACTCGTTCATTTGCTGTTGTTTGTAATGTTTTTCTTTCATTTCACTTTTTGAATGTTTTATCTGACTAGAGACTGTTTTGTAGAAGTCAGATTGATTTTATCTAGTTTTTGTATTGTAACCAAGTGGCAATTAACAAATTTTTTAGGTAACTGTCCAACCGAACCCTAGCCTTGTTAAGGTGTCTACAAGTCACAGAAATCAGGCAAGTCACGGATTTTACTAGGGCTGAAATTCTAGGGGATTTAATGGAAGTCTTAAAAAAAACTGGGCCTAACTAAAATAAAATTCCCTAGACGTGTCTTCAGTTTTGCCTCTTGCTAACAGGCAATGAATAAATTCAGAATCAGTGATGGCAAACATATTTTTTGGGAGCAAGCAACTAACTCACACCTCAAAATATTGTATGCCCAACTATCTCATGTTCAAGTCACTGAAAAGTATTGTCTTGTTGGTACCAAAGATTAACGTATATTCTAATTGTTTGATGTTGTTAGGAAGCACCATTTAGTCAATTTCAAGAATGTCCATAAAACCAAAATATTAACCTATATTAGGTTAATTATCTTTTATTCTACTGATTTCACACTAACAATACACATTAGTCACTCTTCCGCTTTGTTTATTTGCATTGGGTTTGTACAAGTGTATTGTTTACTCCCATGTAATTCATTACTCAAATGTTTCATATAGTTCAATATTTTTTTACTCTTTTAATTTTAATAATACAAATTAATAAAATACAAACTATTGACAAAAGTGGATTGGAAAATAATCCGTTCTTCTACTTTGTTGTGATGCATGTTTGAATGTTTTTCAAAAGATATTTATTGTTTTAATTAAATGTTCTTTAAATACGAGTGTTTATTGCATGTCTGTATGTCTGGTGTTGCAAGTTTTTATCTAATATTTAAACAACTCATAGTGTATTCAGAACTCAAACAGTGCATCATCTTTAAGGAAAGTTTCTCTTATATACTTTAAACTTATTAGCTCTACATGATTCTCCTTGTGCATTGAAAGTTAGGAATGAAAGCACAACCCCACTAACAGTGGCATGGCTGCCGATCCTAACATTTCATCTCATGACATCAGCTGACAGTTAGTCTGCATGCTTGAGCAGTGTGAGATTACTAAACCTTCCCTGCTCCGTTCCTCCCTTTCCTAAATCACATCAGATCAGCTGGTTAAGTGTTGTTTTTGTGTGATTTTTATGGTTTTTACTTTTTAGTACACCCGAGGAACACCCGTGAGTATTTTTTTGTGATTGCAGTTTCGCTAGCTCTAGGTGAATGTGGCATTTGTCGATTGATTTCAACCTGTCCTGATTTTCTTTTGTAAATATTAGTGGCACATGTAAATTTTTAAAGATGAGTCTTGTGTCGGTATCACCGTTTTGTAATAAAGCAGGTAAATTTGTTGTGAAAGTTTTTACCGAAAAGTAGGCACAATCTTTTTTGTAGCTAACGTCCATTTCTATTGGAAAGCCTAACTAACTACACATTAAATCCTAAGGAACTGGGTATCTTTCTTTACGATCAGAATATACATTAACTTTGTTTCTACTGTTTACTAAATTAATGATTTTGTGGTGTATAGGCTTAACAAGATTACCTTATTTGTTAGTAGAGTATATAATATAGATAATAATGCACTAATAAATTTAAGAGTCTTAGTTCTTGTTTAAAGAATAAAAAAAACTACAAGAACCAAGACTACTACTGAAGAAGTTAAACGCTCCGAACATTCAATTTGTTTAAGTGTTTATTCGTGCATGTTCATCTTTTTTTGTCAGTAAGGTAAGCTTGCTATTAAATCCATCCACCAGAAAATCTTTAAAAACCCTGGCATAAAGCCACCATTGCATCATGTTTGCCAAAACACGTTTTCCAAATTACTGTTTTACACTATCCAAACTAAAAAGCAGTATTGAACAGATGCCAAAACCTTTATGTCGGTCGAGTTACACAGTTCTGAGTGAAATTACCTATGAATTTCTAGTTTGCTTGTTGGAAGAAATATAACTAAAAAAATATAGAAAATTTAATTTTCAAGGTGCTCTTAAGGTGTATACAGTACAGATTGATAGCTGGGTTGTTATGTTTCAGTGTTGGAGTGCGTTGTGGTCCTCCCGCCTCCCCCGCCCAGACCAATCGTCAGCCGTTCCCCCGCAATGTGCCGTCCCGCAGTACCTTCCACAGTGGCCAGAACCGCCAGCGAGGCTACGGCACTCCCTCCCCCACCGGTGCGCCACACGACGCCAACGCCAGGCCCTCCTTTTTCTCCAAGCTCTCGTCTAGGTTTTCTAAACGGTAAGTCGATGTTTTATCTGTTCATTGTTTCTCGTCTTAGTGTATATCAAAAAGTGGTTTACACCGTTCTCATAATTAATATGGATTTTGTTTGGAATTTTATCTTTAATTTTTCATACCGAATATTTGTAATAAAATATACGTTTTTTATTTATTACTCGTCTGACCGGACAAGTCATGTGTTCCTGAAGAAATATACGCTTGTGAAACAGTTTGTAGGTTATCCAGCAGTATTTTAATTTGATATATCCACATTGTTCTAGTGTAAACCACTTTTGAAGATGTTTTGCTTGCAATCCACCATTGTTGTGTCCTCCACTTTCTCGTTTGTCCAGTGATGCACTTTTGGTGTTAAGTGTTTTTATTCCTTTAGATACTTCAATTTCTTTAATTTTATTTTTATTTATTTTGTATCTATGAAATGTTTTCCACGGACAAACTTCTTTAGACTTTGACTTTTCATTTTAATTAATATTAATTTCTTGCTTCAGGGACAAATGCAATTATTTATTCAAGTCTCACCTGAAATTTGACACTAGATATTTTGTATGTGCATACAACTGCCGTAACCTAAAAGTAATATCACTTGAATCTATTCCAAACACAGTAGACTCACACAGGAAGGTCTACTCGACCACGTTAGAGGATGGTAACCGGGCAAAGTGTGTGTTGACTGGGTGCACAATAGCTAAGTCCATGTAATTTGTTGCACGAAATTAGCAGCGACCTCGACTGTGAAAGCTTAATGTATTGTTTTGTCTCCCAAATTATATTGGTACCGTTAGCATTGTGCATCCGCCGCGAGCCCGCTGTATTCCACATGCGTATCCTGACAGCATTGGCTTTCACACCGCGGTCACTGCTAGCTCGTCAACGCTAGAACGTTGCGTCACGTCTAATCGCGTTTTCCTGCCCCTAGGACTGCCAATTAGGAGGACGCTTCGCCCGAGCCAGCCGCAAGATATTACTTGACCGAAAATATTCTATCGGAAAAGTACCTTGCTGCGGGATAACCATGTGGAATAACAGTTGTACATATATTTAACGTTCGCTGACATCGTTGAAGAGAAGAGAGGATTAAATTTTCTTGTTATAAATAGTTCCAATTGTAATTATGTACAGGTCTGGTTGTATACAGGAAGTGTAGCGGGGTAGAGTTGTCCAGTGTAAGTTAGTTTTAAGGCCAACAGATAATGACAAGGGACTGAGGACATATTTTTTACTGAAATGTAATCTAGAGTGTTCACTAATATAATTTTACTTGAAATAGTTTTCCATAAATATTATTTACGATATCTAGATGTTTGTTCCTTTAATATTAGTGTTTTCCTGCTGTTCCTTAAAAAGGTGAATTGTTTAAAATAATATCATTGTGTACGCTATGAACCGAATTTGATCATTTACTTTGATTTATTTCATTCTCAATAAGTGTGGTAATTACAATAAAATAATTATATTGTCTTATAGCTTAATAAATCACTGATTAAACTCAAACTGGATTCAATGTGTTGTTTTGTTTCAGTAAAATTGTTATTAAATATCTCATAAAATCTTTTTTTTCTACATTCTTGATTTATTTTTGCTAATATCAATATCGTTGAAATTTGTATCACAGGGTAGTTTAAGTGGCATTTATTTGATTTGTTTCGAGTTTTTTTAGACCAAAAAATTGTGTAAAAATATTGATACAAATTACCAGCTAAATTTTATCGGACATCTGCTCCTAAATTCATGTATTATGAATCTGCAAATTTTAAATCAATTTTTATTCTTTAGTTTGATAAAAGTAAAACTCTTTATATTTTATTTTGTCTTTTTAGGTAAGGTAAATAATCCCTTATCATTTTAAAATACTTCAATAAATGAGAATGCATATGAAATGGTTTTTTGTGAGATTTAAAATTTTGAATAACGCATTAGTCATTTTCCTGATTCGCAAGTCGTTTGATATGTAATCTAGTCACATTTTTGCTCAGTTTATATGTGTTGTGTATTTTATTGTTAAGTCATCTGCTGCAACTTTGTTATTGAAGGATTGACAAAATGACCAAGTCCTATAATCAAAATGATGAAATGATAAGGGATTACTTTTAACAGTAGCATTTACTCAATTGATTATCAATATACATAATTTGTAGTCATCGTAATAGTGCAATTGATCTTTTTAGTGTTAAGCTTTGTATTCGGATCATATTAATACTCTTATTATAGCTTTTCTCGTACATTTTTTTGTAAATTTTGTACTTTTACCTTAATTTGCTAGCAGTTTCTCTAGTATTCCATGGGTGTTTGGCCAGTCGTGCCTCGTCGGACATTGTGCCTTAGCAACTCCGCGCCTTCAGTTGTCGTTCTGCCATGGTCTCGTTACGATATTCCATGTTTACTATTGTTATACCAAAGTGTACATTGTCTAGTGTATCGTCGGTAAACTTTTTGTTTGTATATAATGTAACTATTTTAATAGTTGTTTTCACTTACAAATTCTACTAGGCCATCTTGCTCATTTAAAACTCGATCTAAGCGCTTTGTGGTATCGCTGTTAAACAATAATCGACATACAACTTGAAAGACTGTCTTTGACGTTTTATTCTTCGTCTGTAAAACTATATTTTTATAGGTTCAGAATAGTTTGTGAATCACAGGTATTTTAAAACGCGTTGTATGCACAAACTCTTCTAATTAGCATTTGCCAGATACGATTTAAAATTTAACATAATTAGTCTATGAACGTATTGTCTTATTAACCCAAAATAATCAAAATGTTTAAGCGGCTTTTAGTTACCAAATGACTTGTAAATAAAAAGCTTTAACAGAGAAGCTGTGTCAGAATAGATTAGACAAAATTAAGGTCATGAACCCATCAATGTGTAAATGTTCATTTAATGTAAATCAAAGCATGTATGTGTTTTGTAATTAGAAGATACATATTGTTTAGTTTTTGCATTTTGATTGTGTACTAGTCACAATTCTAAATTTGAATATGAATTTTTAGTGGTTTGAAGAGTTTTATGATCATCTTTATAATGTGCGTTTGATTTCTATGGCTCTCCAGGTTTATTATCATTTTAAGTCGACAGTCTGTCGTTAGTTTACTCATTCATAAATGGATATAAAAGTATTTTCACTTTAAGTCAATGTTGTAATTGGTCTATGCCCGCCAAAGGAGTGTTAATAAAGTTTTACTGATATATATATGTAGTTTTATTCTCAAATTTTGTCAATCAATTTACTAATAATAGCTGAAGAAAAAATAATCTATAATATCTTTGAAGAAACTACCAATTATCTTAGAATAGACATGTTTTTAACAGCTTTGCACTATGTACAGAGCATCCCTGGCTGTCACTTCAGTTGTTGAATGTCAAGAAGGTTGTACTTTTTGACTCAATTACTGACAAACCTGCCTTATAATGGCTTGAAACTTGTATGTCTTAGTTAAGATGTACATTTTATTAATTAATTCTTAAATGCATGCTCTTTTTGAAGAAATATGATTCATTTTAATTTAAGCCTATGGACTGTTGTTCATACCTTTAATAAACCAACTATGTCACTAGGCTATAAAGGGAATGCCGAATCGGCTAACATGAGGACTAGCGGACACCAATTCAAAATGCCGTACCCTGAGAACTTGTCTAAACAAAATAATAAGGGGTGTTTGTTTTGTTTAAATTAAAACTAAAACTCTTCATAATCAAAACTATAGCCTATTTATCATTGATAAAATAATGTCCATTAAGTGTATTTTATAAAAATTGAGTTATTTAGGTGTTTTACTTGTTAAAACTATTTTTAAATCATTATAAAATGTGACTCCTGAAGTAGGTTATGGTGGTGGGTTGTACTATTTAAAAAATGGAAAATACAGGTTGGTCAGTTCTAAGTTGCAACTACATTTGACAATCTAAAATTAGTGGGTTCTGGAATAGTAAATTCTAGAGTCTTTACCCCTTTTTTAGTTAATTCTGCAGATAGCCAGTTCTGTTGTCCACCACTAATGTTGTATTGCAAAAGTTTCCAATTTAGCCTATTCCATTATATGAGAAACTTGACTTTTTTCAATTATGGGTATATTATATTCCAAAGACTATATTGTTTCTATGTTTAGTCTTTTGATTTTTTAACTAGATACAACAAATTTCTTATCGTTCCTGATTCACCTAAAATATTAAATTGATCCCAAACGAAATCATAGTAACTTCTACAGTCTAATATCAGAAAATCATTAATGAGTATTTAAGTTATTTTCATAATTTACTGACATTTCAAGACCATTGATGTATAATAACTCCCTGGATTGCGCGCTCAGGTTAAAGTAAGGCTCCGAAAACGGGCCGTCGCTACCTCACTGTGCCTGCCAGGAGTGGGGATAAAGGTATGACTCACCCTAGTGCCGAGTGTCGTGCCCGCTCTCGCAGTGTATTGCTATGTTAGTATTGTGGAAATATTGCGAGTAAAATTTATTTTAACAAACTTAAGGAGGTTTTATAAGCAGATATAATCTAAGTACTTGCTCACACTTTACAGACTATGTGTCAAAAGTAAATCTCATAAGACATTTAGTAATATTATGAAAATTTTGATTTATTTATATTTGAACACTAGCTGTTTGCCCGTTCTACGTACGGGAATCTGGTAGTAAGTTGAAATCTTATATTCAGAACAGGAGTTGGTTTGCATATTTAGTGTGCATTTTTCCAGATATGCTGGCAAAACTATTACTGTATAGTAATACATATAAACCTTCGCAAATACAATATCTGACAGTTTAAAAGCCAAAACGAATGCTTCGCAATTAAATGTCACCCGATCGTGTTAGTCCATATTTTATATCTAATGATAAAAGGAATTAATTTATAGGTTTATGAGGCATAGCCCTAAGGTAGGCCTGTAATTGAAAGTTACTTTTCATACTGGTTAAAAAGTTAAAATACTACCTCAACCTCACTACTGCACACTTTATTCGGGTTGAAATTTTCATTAACAAAGGTGATCTTGTCTTTTCCACGAAACACTGAGAAATAAGGACATTAATGCGTTACCAACAGACATACACACACAAATACAGAATTGAATTAGGGGATTTGCTATGCTTTAACCAAAGCAAATTACAAAGAAAATAATTATTTGAAAGTTTTGATAGTGTCATCAAATTTTATGATAATCGTTTTTAGGCCTAATCAAACTGTAAAATTAGTGTAAATTCGTTGGCAAATATATAAATAAGTATATAAATACACAGTTCACAAAACATTTATACGTTAACAACGCCAAGCTTTAAAAATTCATGATGGTTTGCTAAAAAAATCTTTCACTAATGTTTTATCATTTTCATAGCATAAACTAACATTTTGGAGTCCAGACAGAAAACGCAATAATTATACAGTAAGACATCAATTAAATTTAATAAGAAATAAGGTGCAGCACTAACGATAACTTAAGTTGTAAATAAATAGTGATGTGTTTGTACGTAAAAATGATTCTTACTTCTACCACCGGTTCTAAGGAAAAGTAGCAGTAGCAAAAACCAACGTTTACATTTAAGTAAAGAACTATAGTACTTACGACCAATTAAAACTGTCCTTCTAATCAAACTGTATTATAGGTGTTAATCCGTTGGCAAATATATAAATAAATAAATACACAGTCCACAAAACATGTAACGTTAAAAAACTCACTATGGTTTGCTAAAAAAAACTCACTTGATGTGGTGCAGTACCAAAGTTATTAATCTCCCTTGGTTTTAATTTTTGTTTTGTTTTCGAAAATCAAAGTTATTTCCTATTAATAGCATTATTTGTAAGCAACTTTTAATGTTAACATATTGACAGTTTGAAGAAACCACCTTTATCCAAACAAAGGTTTCTTATTTAAAAGATTACGTAATCTCTAAACGATAATCGGTACATATATCTAGCAAACATTCGGAGGAAATGTGACAAAAATGCGCAAATCTGGGGTTTTGGACGTTTGTAGTTTTACTTCCTAAGTAGGAAAAGTACCGATATCGTTGTCGAAATGTAAGTAAGTAGAAACCAGAAGTGACACATTGGAAAAGCGAGTTTAGCTACAACTGTAAGTTAAACCTCTGTTACGATCACAGCGAAATCAGAAAGATCTTCCAAGATCGCAGCAACATCCTCGATCACCCACTGCAGTTGTGATTTTTTTTACTTTGCACTTTACACAACTGTCCTTGAAGCGCTGTCAATGAGTGGAATCCGTTTTTGTAAGCTATTGGTGACAGTGATTAAAAAACTGTACGTTTCCCAGCACTAATACAACACTGATTCACAGTATATACCCCGGTTATCAAAACTCAAGAACAATCGTTGCACTTGCGATTAATTAAACCGGTTAAGTAAGGCACAAGGTTTTTAATCTCACTTGGTTTGGATGTGCTAACAAAACTTGATGGGAAATGGTTGCGGTATTTGTAAACAACTTTTAATGTAAACATATATCAGTGACAGCTAGAAGTGAGAACTAATCCAAACAGCTGATCGTTATTTCATAAAATGTAATAGTAAACATTTTTGTCTAATTTGACAAAAATCAAACAAAATTGGGTTTTTGATGGTTCGTTATTTTGTTTTCAAAGAAGCGAGGCCATGTTTTTATAGCCAAGGACACTCTCACCAATCCAGTAAATACAGAAAAATGATTAGACAGACAGAAATTGAGATAAGACTCGTTTCGGCTTTCTTAGGCTATGAAACGTAAAAATAACCAAAAACTGCATGATTCTAAGCAATGTACAGGCAAAACTGTAATTTTATTTATATAGATTGGCCAGAAAAAAATATCACAATAATTAATTGATCACGTAAGCATGTCATCATTTGCTGCTGTGAGCCCCAATTATTATTGAGAGACTTTGCAACATATACATTTGGTTTATATTACAGTATGATTCTTTGTCATACTGTGATTAACATGTTTTAAAAATATATTATACGTTGTTAAATATTTTATGCCAATTTTAACTATAGACTACGGTAAGCAATAAAATGCTTAAGCATTCACTTGTAAATTTAGTTACCCATTCTTCGTAATGTAATGACATATTTGATGTAACATAATGATAATTTAATGCCATAAACTCAGTATCTAAATCCTGTAAACCGATGCCAAGCCGGCTTTATTTTTAATCGCTTAAAAATTATACAAGCAAACTACGTATGAAAAAAGCTTCAAATAAAAATCAAATACATACTTTAATCTAAAACTTTGCTGCAGGAATGTTTTTGTTAAAATCAACAGTTTTAATTTGCCTGGATAAATTATAAAAAATATGTTAAGGTTAAAACTAACTTCATAGTAGTAAGCACTTGCTTTTACAGAAAAATAACATATCAATTTGAAATTTTTATGTTAACAAATAAGTGTAGCAGAGCAGGTTGAGTGAATTTATGTTTGTGTAAAACTGAGAGGTTCATTCGGCGCGTCTGCCTCGGTATCCCACCAATTCGTATGGTGGGCATGGACTGTTTTTCCACTACACAGTGCACTATCCAGGAGTATTACACATCGATGGTCAAGACCTATCCAAGCACTGTAGTGAATTTTCTGTTATTTTAAGTTTATTTGCGTTTGTTTTATGTTGAATTAGACTCTATAGAGTTTATTTTGTTACTACAGAGAAGAGTAACTTCTGTTCAGTTAGAGGTAATGTAAGCGCACTTGAATGTCCCTAGTTTAGCCTTTTGCATGGGTTATAGTGTCATATGCTGCCAAAAATTAGACATTGAACCCGTATTACATCTTATCTCTGAATGAATTTTCAGTCTGTAACGTTTTAAGTGTATATTATATTTGTACATTTTGGCAATACAATAGTACCCTCAGTGAAGTTCCCCTTTTATAGTGATTGTATTTTCTGCCTAACTTATTTTTGTAAATCCATCTCGATTGATAACCTTTTTTGTACTATCATGCAACTATCCTGTATTGTGTTGTAAGTGATTTGTATGATTTATTGCAGCCTGTATGCATGTCAAATGTGCAGTAAAATCAGGCATACAAATATTTATCTATGTAAACTTGAGTTTTATTGTCCTATAGTATGAATCTTTTATGGTTAACATTGGGAACTTGTACTCTTTATTTGAATTCAAAGTCAAATTATCCTAATTTATAAGGCACATTTTTATGAACATCGAATGGCATCAACTACAAACTAAACTAGTACA